TCCTAATGATGTTTGGTCGCGAGTCTAGCCTGCCCGCAGATCTGCTGTTTGGTGTCCCTCCACCGCAACGGGAGGAAGGGAGCCACCCCGTGGAGCACTTGCTGGAGACCCTGCGAGGGGCCAGGGGCCGAGCCTACCCGCACGGAGAGGCCGCACACCAGCGGCAAGAGCAGGGCGCCCGACCCCGTATGGAGCCTCCCTTCTACACTGCGGGCTCCAGGGTGTGGCTGTACACTCCCCGCGTCGGTGCCGGACAGGTGGGGAAGCTGACCACCTACTGGCGAGGACCCTGGATTGTGAGACGGCAGATCTCACCATGGACGGTGCTGATTCAGGGAGGAGAGAGGGGCCGGGAGATGGTGGTCAACATCCGCTGACTGAAGCCGTGGCGAGCAGCCCCCGAGGGGGGGAGCCCCGCCGTCCAAGTACCCCGAAACCCCGGGGTCCCCCCACCCCCCGTGCCCGGGGGCCTCGCGCAGTATATAAGCCCCACGAAGCCCCGGGCTCCGAGGGGCCCCGGGCGGGGCCGGGGGCGACGAGGATGGCGACCCTTAAACCCCACCGCCTCTGAGTTTGTTCCCCAGCCCGCAGGTGCCAGAGGCCGAGGGGAGCCGTTGGAATGGAGGAGGAGACCACCGCCGGAGCCCCAGGAGACGGAGCCACCACCCCCGAGGCCAGCCACAAGGGCCGGGCGAATCCCGCGGACCCCGCGGCGATACCTCGTGGTGGCAACCCAGGCGAGGTGCTCCAGTCAACCCGGGACGGGGACTGGCACCCCGGGGGGCTATGTGGTGCCACAACGACGGGGCTGCTCTGCCGAGCCAGGGAGCCGCCCGGCTTCCACCACTGCGGGATTACATCTTGAATCATTGCCTCACTTGATGCAGCTAATCCGGCTGTGATGGTCCCACCTGATGACGGAGACTTGTGTTGCCTCCGAAACGTCGTGATTTTTTATTTTTATTTTATTTTGATGTTTTACTTACGTGACTTAACCGAAAAAACTTAAGAATATGTAAAAACTAAGTTTTTCACTATAAATCCTTTATATGCGTGGCGGCTAGAGTCCTCTCGTCCTCTGGCTTGAGATGGCTGCCACCTATGGGTCAGATGATTGCCTGCCACCATTAAGCAATTGGTAATTAAATATCATTTATTTTTTCCTAAAAAGTGTTAAATTTTGGAAAAAAATGTTCACGAAAATAAATTGTCACGCACAACGAGTCTGTGTGCAAAATGTCAGCTCGATTGGATCACGGGAAGTGGGTTAAAAAACGACCGAAAATTTTGCACGGTCGTAAGCGCGCAAGCAAACAAGCAAGTGAACTTAATATAAAGGATCTAAAAATAGCATTAACTGTGAGTCGTGCACCCATAGTCCTTGCGCCGCCGCTCCTTTCCCTTTAGCATTAGCCTTTCTTTACACGGCTGATTAAGGCTTAACCACTGGGGGGGGGGGGGGCGCGTGCATATTTATACAGTCCTATATAGCATTATCCTTTGTGTGCAAGCGGATTAGGGTTTAACCCCCTGAGGTGCACGCGCATATTCATACTGCCGTTTTGATTAACGCCAGCCTTTGTGAGGGAAATACGCGCCTGCAGGGGCGCGCACGTGCACGCCTCTGCGTTCGTGTTTGTGTGGTGGGGTGCGTGGGGGAGAGAACCCCGAGCGGTGGTGAGCCAGCCGAGTAGCGATGTCCCTCAGAGAGGGCGCTGGCGCGGAGGGCCGATCACCCGATCGGCGGGGGCGCGGCGAGAGGCGACCAAAGAGGAGGAGGGGGGATGGATGGGGTGGACGTCACACCCGCCCTCTCACGGGGAGCAGGGAGGTAGACGTCAGCCCCCACAAAACTCCTAAAGTTTGCAAAAATTTTTTTTTTTTTTATTTAGCAGTACGATCAAACACTTCCGAGATCTGATAATCTTTTGCCGATTTCTGGAGTCGTGTGGCTGATAACACCTGAAAATTTGCAATTTTACACAAACTGTTGCTGACATTAGTTGTTCTTGCGGTGGTGCGTAGCGGATTTCGGGATTCGCCAAAAGTGGCACCCCCACATCGATGCTGATTTTTGGAGTTTCACTGCATCAACAAAAAAGGGAATATGCATTTTTTAAAATCGCTTTATTATAACACATTTCGATTTTTTAAGACTTATTTTGGTTGGGGGGGGGTGTAAATTAAAGCAAAGCCTTTTGTTTCCAAAACCAGCAAAAGTACTCCGCAGAAACATCGCCACCACTTATGTTCCACACCTGCATTACAATCGTATTAAGTGCAACACAAGTGAACACTATTTTCTGGTGGCCCCATTCCGCTGCTTGTGAAGTCGGCGCAGCGACTACTCGAAGAATGGACAGGTTGTCGACCGTGACGACACACAGAAACGTGGCTGCCATAACTGAGCACTGCCACCCAGTCAATTTGTTGGCTGCAAAAACTAAGCATTGCAAAGGCTTTGCTTTGCACGTGTGGAAGAGGAATGACTCATCGGCTCGCCAGCAAAGGGACAAGTCTGCACGTGTTGTGGCCCGCGCTTCAAGGATGGTGTCATCGATGATAGAAATTGATGATGCCGATGGCGAGGGATGACAATGATAATGAGGGTGATGACACGTTGAGGGGTGGTAGGGGATGATACAACTAAAACTTTTTATTTAACTAGGTCAGGCCCACTGAGCTAGATAGCTCGTTTTCATAAGCGACCTGGCCCCAAATGATATCTCAAAGAAGTGGCATATCACGTAGACATTTATAGCAGTTGAATACTCTATAAACGCACGTTTATGTGGAGGGGAAACCGAGAGAAGCCAGAGAAAAATCAATGTGACCACGGGGAGAACATACAAACTCCAAATACAGGCGTCAGGGTCGGGATTGAACCCACGACCTCCTGTATACCAAGCGAGGTAGTTAATATCTCCTAGCCACCGTGGCGCCCGCGATATTTGGGATATGGGATGACGGTAATGATGGGGTAGAGGCGCATGCCATGCAAGCTGAAGAAGGGGTTCGGGATCAGAAGAGTTCTCGTGGGGAAAGAAGGGAGGGAGGAGATTGGCAGGGGAGGTGGTGTAACGCAGATTGAGGTTGAAATGAGCAATGACAAATAAGAGAGGGACATGGGGCGACCAAGGATGTGGGACGAGTAAGGAGATAATAAAAATAATGGACTGAGGGATTTGAGTCAGTCTGGTCTGGTGGGGAAGCTGAACATAGAAGATGGGAGAGAGGCGTTTAAGGAATAGGATATTTAGCAGGAAAGGTGTTCGTGGTAGGGTAAGACTCATCACTATAGGATTTTGGTGGAAGGAAGTGTGGGAAATAGTGATGTACGTAAGACTTTTTGAAACATTGTTGGAATAAAAGTATGGTTTGGAACAACCGTGATGATGCCAGTGGAAGAGGAGTGTAAGCAAGTGAGCAAGTCTGGCAACCAGTCGACACGTAGGTTAAAAAAGAAAACAAATAAATTAAATCACGACGTTTCGGAGGCAATACAAGCTTCCGTCGATATTTAATGTATTTGTTTAATTTTTAACCTACGTGACTTTACCGAAAAAACTAAAGAGTATGAATCATTGCAGTCACGAAAGCTTCAAATCTAGAACCAGTCGACAGTTACATCACGTGACTTTCAAATCAAGCAGCTGACTGACTGGAAGCATGTGTAAAGTACTCACTTGGAGCACAACTATAAAACCAGCCAGGTGTTAACAGCTAACGGTGGAGCCGCTCTCCCATTGGATAGAGGCTGTTTATAAAAGAAGAGCTCAGAGCACAAACAAGGCAGAGGATTTGGAGACACCAACAACAGTCCGGAGTGGAGGTGCCGCGCTACCAGCAACACCCGAAATAGTCTCACTGCTGCTGTGTGTGGTGAGCAGTGGACTCAACAGCACAATGGGGACTTATAAGCTTGACGCCGTGATTACAATCCTGCATAACAGCGTGTAGTTTAATAGTTTAGCTTCATGTGCTGTACACCAGGGTCCTTGAGTCAAGACTGGAGTACGGTGAAGGTCGAGGCCAAGGTCAAATCAGGGTGGGGCCGAGCAAAGAGAGCAGAACGCTGCCTTCCAGCGCCCGGCCTGTGGCAAGGGTGAGGCAGTGCAACTGACGTGGAACCACTATGAGATCTCTTTTACCAGTGGCAAAATATAATGGTAGGTTTTTACCCTTTTAACTGGTACAATAAAGGTGTCAGTTTTGTACCAGTTAAAAGGGTAAAAACCTACCATGACGTGGAACCCTTTTGCTGTGGACTGGGATGAAGAACTGAATTGTGCTTCCTGTCGGGCGTTGTGAATTGTTTGTGTGGTGCCTAGCATCGAGTGAATTGTGGTGAGGTTGGCGTGAGGCGCCATCTAGGAAATTGTGGAGGCAGTGTGTGCGAGGTCAGCTCGTGATGACGAGCGGGAGTGCTGTGTAGGGGTTGTGGTTGGAGGGGAGTAGTGGGCCTCAGGGCTCCACTCTGATCTCCAGAACCCGAAAGTATAAACCATGGGCAGGGTAAAACCGCGAGCGTGTGAAACCCCAGTGTAATCCAAATTATTTTGGCCGATGTGGGGAGAACTTCCGACGATCTAGAAGGCTGTCATCAAATTAACCTTGGTGCCTAACGGTGGCGGAGTTAACATTACTTCATAGTGTGTGTGTGAGCTTGGGAATACGCTAAGGATGTAGACATGAGCCCCTGTGCTCGGGAGTAATTTCTTTTGAGTTTTTTGAAAATTCTACTGTTATGCTCCCTGTATAAAACTGGACTTCCTGGTACAAACAAGTGTCAACACAAGCGAGAGTTAGTCTCACGCGCGTGCCACTCCAACCGTCGTACATGCACAAATGACCTGGCTGACCAAATGACACTAGTGCCGTCGGTAACGGATCTAAGCTATTGCTATGATTATTACTATGACCACTGTGGTTGGCCCAAGGATAAAATGCAAAAAAAAGACTTAGGCCTTTTGCACTTTGCAATGTAACATTTGCCACCTCTATCTCCTTACGTTCTGCTTTAGTTTTCTGATGCGTTTTCACAGCACGAACGTACATGTGCGTCGCCAAACGAGTGCCGTCAATAGGTAGGGCCACCCCTCATCATGGCGCGTGGAGGTCGGGGATATCCAGGGAGCATGCCGCCGCCCCCCCACGGAGGGTACATCATGCTTGGGTGTGCGTAGGGCGGATAACCGTACGGATACTGCGGGTGCGCGTAGCGGGGGTAAGGGTGGCGGGATCCACCTCCACGCCCACGCCCTGGCTGCGGGGGCCCCTGCGGAAAGTCCGATTCTCCCCGCGTGGCTCGTGCCCCGTTCGGCTGACTTTGACCTCTGCCTGCAGATGACAGGATGGGCAACGTCAGAGGTGCAGAAAACTACAGACGAGCTGGATGGCAGCCAGGCGGTGGTCCAGTGCCAATAATTGCCCAAGCTCTGGTCATCTGTATATTAACATGTTTCCTGTTGATTAATGAATGTTTACACACGAGAGAAAACCAGAGTACACAGAGAAAACCAATACCAACGAGGAGGGGGGGTTACACTATACACGTACAGATGGAAAACGGTGGCGATTAATTCATTTGTTGTACTGCCACGTCCTGGCAAGCCAGGGTATGGCTCCAATTAGCAGTTGGGTACGTACGGTGCGAAAGAAGTTCAACATACGTACATACATACAACCTCGACGCCCATGCGAAGGGAATTTCATAACATTTGTGCGATCCACCAAACCCCGCTGTCTCCACGGTGCTGGGTTACAGGTGTGCGCTACCACCACCCAGCGTGTTGTTATAAAACTGCACGCATCATTCTTGTGATTAACAAAATTACGTGTTTTAGAATTGCTCTCTTGTATTAAAAGTTAAGAGACAACAATCAAAAAGTATTTATCATCTCTTTTCATGGCCAACCCCACACATATTTCACAGTTGCAATGAACTGTCGTAAAGTTCAACACAAAACCACAATATCTCAGTACAAATCGATTCCTCCGACCCAACACACAAATTATGCAAATTCCTGTAATTTATGGGTCACACCTGGACAGGTGGCGACCCGATATGTGTTGGTCACTCACAATTGTTTCAGGTTGACTGACAGAATTTATGAAGCACATTAATGTTGCCATAATTTCCACAATTACCACCACATTGTAGCTTCATCAATATGTTACACATATTACATCCTCAGAAGACAACATTAATAACAGCTCACTGCTCTTCGAATGTGAAGTTGTACAATAACACTGCTACTTTTCATCACTATGCATCCGCCAGCTTGTGGTAATATCTGGAAAAGTATTGCACATATGTATGTTGAACTTTTTTTGCACCACACGTAGCCAACAGCACTAATCGGAGGTGCAGGATAACTACAAGTATTGTAATTTTTACTTCACTCACAATAACCAAACGTATAGAATGAAGTGTTTCTTAGCAAGATAACCTCACATCTATATAAATTGGGTTAATTTTCGGCACGTGCATGATATATCCTGCAAGCATTCTTCAGATGTACCAAGCATTTACAGTAACATCCTACAGACATCACGCCCATGAACTGAAAATTCCCAGAATTAGCCTAGGCATCTTCTTGGTTCTTTCGGTAAAGGCACGTAGAAGGGAATAAAATAATAAAAATAAAACATAATAAAATAATTCTCACGACGTTTCGGCCACAACGCAAGCAGCCGTCCTCAGGTGAAGAACAGGCCTGTCGAGAAGACAGAGTCTGAATGACAACCCAAGGCTTGGAGCGTCTTTTTAAGCTGGGTTGGAGGGGGGAAGAGCGCCTTGACAAAATAATTTGCATATCAAGAGGAATGTAGCATATATATATATATATATAAGCTGGGTTGGAGGTGGAAGAAGAGCGCCTTGACAAAAGAATTTGCATATCAAGAGGAATTTAGCATATTTATGGAAAATGCGTAGGAGGTGGGCTGGGGGGTTTCAAAGTCATATTATGCCCATGCATTATGCAGGATTAGCAGTATCAAAGGGAGGGGGTAGGGGGTAGCATTAACAAAGGGAGGGAATGTTAATAGTATGTAGAAGCAGGAGACCCGCAGCAGAGCAAATAATGCATTGCCTGTGGAGAACACAAGATACACAGTCAATGCCAGTGAGTGGACTGCGGTCTGCAAGTCACCGTAAACGTGAACAACAATCAGTTAAGATCCGAAATGGTTTATTACGTCCTTCCAATGATTGCTGAGCCCAGAATCCATCTTCTCGGTTGAAATTGTCTCTGTGTCTGTATATGTGGATCGCCTCATGAACGAATCTCTCATGGTAGCCAGATGGCTTGCAGAGAACCTCCGTCTTGGAGAAGTCAATGTCATGTGAGCCCAATGAATTGTAACAGTGATCTGCCACGGCTGAGGTGTTTGTCCTACCGTGTTTCAGGTCTGCTTTGTGTTCACGGATGCGGTCCGAGACATGTCGTTTGGTTTCTCCAATGTAACTGCTACCACAGAGGCAACTTAGTTTGTAGACGCCAGGGTACTGTATGTCTGGAACCACGTCTTTTACAGACAGGACCAGATCACGGATTTTATGTACTGTGTTGAATCGGACCTGGATCTTGTGTTTAATCAGGATTTTGGAGATATTTTTTGTGACCCCAGCAATGTAGGGTAAGGTGATGGTTTTGATAGGCTCCTCAACAGGATCCTTCTTGATGGTTGGAGTGATGGCCTTGCGGATTGTGTAGTCGGAGTAACCATTAGCCTTAAGAGCTTGGCGTACGTGTTTGAGTTCACTGGCAATGTGTTCCTGGTCGGAGATGCATTGGGCTCTATGGTATAGAGTCATGATGAGGGAGTTCTTCTGGGATGGATGGTGATGGGAATCCGGTTTTAGGTAAGCATCCGTGTGGGTGGATTTCCTGTAGACAGAATGGCTCATTGAACCATCAGGTCTCCTTTTAATTAGGACATCCAAAAAGGGTAGCTTGCCATCTTTTTCGACTTCCATGGTGAATCTGATGGCTGGGTGTATGGAATTGATGTGGTCGAGGAATTGGTCTAGAGCAGGCCGGCCATGTGGCCAGATGACAAAAGTGTCATCTACGTACCTCTTCCATAAGGTCGGGCATAGAGTGGCAGTCTGGATGGCGTCGGTCTCAAATTTCCTCTTGATATGCAAATTATTTTGTCAAGGCGCTCTTGTTCCACCTCCAACCCAGCTTATATATATGCTAAATTCCTCTTGATATGCAAATTATTTTGTCAAGGCGCTCTTCCCCCCTCCAACCCAGCTTAAAAAGACGCTCCAAGCCTGGGGTTGTCATTCAGACTCTGTCTTCTCGACATACCTGTTCTTCACCTGAGGACGGCTGCTTGCATTGTGGCCGAAACGTCGTGAGAATTATTTTATTATGTTTTATTTTTATTATTTTATTACTTCCCTTCTACGTGACTTTACCGAAAGAACCAAGAAGATGAATCCCTGCAGTCACGAAAGCTTTAAATCGAAATTTAGCCTAGGCATGCTCGAGCATGTGTAGTAGGTTCAAAGAGACTTGGACGTAGTCGGAGGCACACTTATTTATTAACCACAGAGTATATTGCAGGCCGAGATATACAACACTCGAAGGGGTATCGGCCCCTTCACCCGTCTAACAGGGAGATCCCACAATCTCTGTCCCGGCTAGCCTACTCCTAGGTCTTCCACTACAGGGCTAGGGGAGGCTAGCTGACCCAGCTCTGGTTAAGCTGGGATTACGGCACCCTGAGTCCCCAGACCGGCTCTTACAAGAACATCGGCTCTGGGCTCTCGGGGCCACGCCACTGGCTTGCCCTGGTCGGTCCTGAGAAGGACAGCGATCCAGGGGAGTCCCAGGGCCTATCTAGCCGGTCTTCTTGCTTCGCTGGTTTAAGCTGAACACTGAACCCCGAGCCCTCCGGCTCACCGCCTTATATAGCAACTCCCCCACTGAGGGGTGGGGCCGTGGGGGATCCCAGCGCCGTGTTAGCCCCCCAGGCTAAACGGTGCGGACGTGGATGTAAGCATCTCTTCGCGTACGGGCATAACCACGCCCAGTGTGTTTGTTTGCCCTCCCGTAACACCTCTACATCACCCCCCCCCCCCCTGTACAGCCCGCAGCCGTCCCGGCTGCAACAAAATCACAATAAAGATGCATCCCCCCAACCCCTTGTGTGCCTCGCGTAATTAACAACAACAGCAACAACAACCCGACGCATCCCCCCCCCCCCCAAATAAATACCCCATCCCGTAAAAAAACAACATGTATACAATTTCCAGGACCCCTCCCCCCCCACCCCTTAACCCCCGCAAGGGCCGCACAAGCGGCCGATCTCACAAAAGTCTGCGCGTTTTGGCGCGCATTCTTGCAGCGGGGCCGTCACAAGGGGCAGCCCCAGTTGGCCCAGTGGTGGGTGTCAACAGTCCGGGTGCGAGAGTGTCTGGCTTCGCCGATGAGCGACCCCCGAACCCCCCGGGAGGGGTTGGCGGTCGTGAGCACGTCAATCCTGGTGCACCTGGAGGTGGAACAGTCGGTGGCAAGTCAGGCGAAAGCAGCGAAGTCGGACTCCGGGAGTCGGTGGACCCCTCACATGTTTGGCCATGCGTGTGTGTGCTAGGAACATGGGGCGCAATGAACGGTTTCAACCTGGAGGGGTGCACGAACCACCGACGCTTCCCCCATCGGACACGTACAAATTGTGGCCGCAAGACCTGCACCACTTCCACGGGCCCCCGCCACGGCCGTACCAGCTTAGACGAGGTCGCCAGTGGTACTTGGGGACAGTGCAACCATGCCTTGTCACCCGGTTTCCACTGGAGCACATGTGCCCGACCCAGCCTGAGCCTCTCATTCGCCCTCTGGCGGAGTTCTGAATTCTGGATGGCCGCCTCCCGCGCCTCTGTCAATTTAGCGATGTTGAATTTGACATGGTCGGTCAATTTTGATTTAGCATGCGGCGTGGAGATCTGCAGCTGAGTCGCGACAGGTGGGCTAGCCTCGCGGCCGTACATTAAGAAGAAGGGCGAAAATCCGGTCGCCGCATGAAGAGCCATTCTGTAGGCCGCCAAAACCCCCGGAATATGAAGGTCCCAATCGGTCTGGGATTCAGAGACCTGTTGGGACAGCATGGACGTGATAGTCCGATGCAGACGCTCCACCATCCCATCAGTTTGCGGATGATATGGGGAGGTACGAATTTTTTTCGTACCCAGGAGCTCGCACACTTCGTGTAGAAGTTTACCAGAAAAATTTTTACCCTGGTCGGTCAGCAGCCGCTCCGGAGCACCTTTGTCGAGGACGTAGCCCTGGACAAAGGCCTCCGCGATGGCTGCTGCCGACTGGTTG